GATATGACAGGGAGAGGTGTGCTACCGGATACTCAGTGTTATAATACTCTAATCAAGGGATTTTGTGATATGGGCTTATTAGACCAAGCTCGGTCGCTTCGGCTAGAAATATCGGAAAACGATTGCTTTCCTGACACCTGTACTTACTCTATTCTTATTTGTGGTATGTGCAGACATGGCCTCGTGGAGGAGGCTAGGCTAATCTTCAATGAGATGGAGAAGCTGGGATGTTTTCCTTCCGTTGTAACTTTCAATACTCTCATTGATGGACTTTGTAAGGCTGGTGAGCTTAAGGAGGCTCACCTAATGTTTTACAAAATGGAGATAGGTAAAAACCCTTCATTGTTTCTTCGTCTCTCTCAAGGTGTTGATCGAGTCCTTGACAGTGCAAGTCTGCAAAAAATGGTAGAGAAATTGTGCGAATCAGGTAAGATTCTTAAAGCTTACAAGCTTCTTATGCAGTTGGCTGATTGTGGAGTCGTTCCAAATATAATTACGTATAATATTTTGATCAATGGATTATGCAAATCTGGAAAAATTAGTGGTGCTTTTAATCTTTTTGAAGAGCTTCAACTCAAGGGGCATTTCCCCGATACAATTACTTATGGGACACTTATTGACGGTCTCCAAAGGGCTGACAGGGAAGAGGAAGCTTTTAAACTCCTTGATCAAATGAGCAAGAATGGGTGCATGCCGAGTGCAGAGGTTTACCAGTCGCTTATGACTTGGTCCTGTAGAAGGGGAAAGATCTCTATCGCGTTTAGCCTTTGGTTGAAGTATTTGAAAACCCAAGCTGTTCGAGAGAGTGAGGTGATAGGGTTAATTGAGAAACATATAGAGAAAGGTGATTTGGAAAAAGCAGTTCGAGGATTACTTGAGATGGACCTAAAACTGGAAGACTTTAATTCATCACCTTATAACATTTGGTTGATTGGGTTGTGTCAGGCACGCAAGCCAGGTGATGCTTTGAAGATATTTTCTTTACTTAAGGAATTTGGTGTCTCGATTTCAGCCCCAAGTTGTGTAATGTTGATTCATAGTCTTTGTGAGGAAGGAAACTTGGATCAGGCAGTCGAAGTTTTCCTATATACTGTGGAGAGAGGTGTTCGCTTGATGCCACGAATTTGCAACAGATTGCTTCAGACCCTTCTCCGTTCTCAAGATAAAGCACAGCATGCTGTTGATCTTTTGGAAAGAATGAGGTCTACAGGCTACAACTTAAATGACTATCTTCATAGTGGTACGAGATCTCTTTTCCAGCGATGGAACAGGAGGGGAACAGAGAGTCTATCACCTGGATAAGGTTGCTTGTCAGTTTCATGGTGCAGTGATTTTCGCTTTCCTTCCAGAACTTTCTGAGCCTGATTTGCATGGCCGTGTTGAAGTTGTAAAGTTTGCAGGTGCCTCCACCTTTTACCTTCACTAACCCTGTTTCAGACCTTGTAACTTGGACTAGAGAATTAGCATAGAGATTTTACTGAAGCTGCTCTAACCAGCATTTTTGGGAGGAGGAACTGGACAGATTCATGGTAATTTTGCATGATACATAACATTCTTTTGTAATTTCTGATAATTTTGTTCATGTAGTAAAGATAATATATGTGTAATCTCAATAAGTATTTGATAATTTTGCTCATTTAGAAAACAAATACCTGTGTAATCTCTAAAAGTTTTCAAGAGAGCTATTATTGTTCCTTACATAAAGTTTACTGACATAATAACTTATGACCATTGTTGGCAATTTGACGGGAAACAGAAAAGGCTTGATTATTTTGTTTCTTCCATATTTTCCTTGTTTATCTTTTCCTAGTTTTATCCAGCTCCATTTTCTGGACAAGAATGGTGGAGTGTTATTTTTATTTTTTGGGGGGCGAGGGGTGGTGGTGGTGGTTGGAATGACACACAATTTTTGCCCATGTCTAGTTATTGTTACACTTGGATTTATTTTCACTTCTTGTTATGTCTTTTGGTATGGCATTATGACTAGCGTTCCCTATTATCCGTCACCTCTTACTGCACTAAGCATAAGTGGCATGAATCAGTAGTTCTGAAGCTGCAGCTTTTCTCCTCTAGCTTTTGACCATCTTACACATTCTAATCTGAAACAACTGTTCCTGTTTTAAGTAACAACACCATATTGGTGTGTTCCACGTACAAATGATTGCAGAAAGTTTCTTAATACCTCTTGAGCACCGAGTACTGCTCTATAGTCAACTTCATATGTTCTGGTGCTACTTTGGTATATATTAATTTGTTTTCTCATGATTTCCTCGTGTAAGGTGTTCGTCAGTCACTTCTTTAATTGGTTTATCCTATCCATTTGATCTAGATTTGTTTCCTTTTTTCTCTGATATTTCCCAGTATTTTAGCTCGTATATTTTCAGTATGAACCACCTTATTTTTGAATAATTGTTACAATTTGATATACTACAAAAAAACATACTATTGGACTTTCTAAAGTTCCAAACTATGAAAATTTTTGGTGCGGTGGAGGTTGTATATCATGTTGCTCTCTTGTTTTAGACTGTAGAGTTGGCACTTCCATTCCTTCCCTACACCTGGAAAGTAAATTGTTCTTTTCGCCAGTTACAATGTCAGTAACTCCAGAAGAACTGCAGGGCTTATGCCCATGGGTCATGGCTGTTGGGGGCTATTACCGGCCTCTTTCACTGCCCACCTGACATTAAGAATTTCCAAGCTTTATCTACACTTTGATTCCTTTTCTCGAGGAGGAGTCCTTTATACTTGTTGCTATAGCTTTGCTGATTCTTTGATTCCTTTTCTCAAAGAGGAGTCCTTTATACTTGTTGCTATAGCTTTGCTGATTCTGTCTGAGTTATTTGAAGATTTTAATTTTATTTGGCTTCAATTCTTTTCCTGAATTTCCATGCCTGCCCTTCTTTAGGCTTTCAGGTAATTGGCTAATTCTTTTCCTGTAGGAATGGGTAAATCAGAATTAAACTGTACTTGCTTCTGTTATCCTTCCTGGGAGATATAGCTCATCAGAATGTAGCATATTGTAGTCTTGGAATTCAAACACAAGTGCTCATACTATAATGCTAAATCATGTACTTGTATATCAGATGAGTGGTTTCATTGTTAATGACGCATAGTCATATTTCTTGATAAATGTTATGAACAAGGTTTCATTTTTTTAAGTAAGATTCTTTTTGTGGACCATTTTTAGGTTCCCATCTTTTTTACGCCCTGTATCCTTTCAGGAGGAGGTTGTGGTCCATCAGGGCTTTAACTAGACCGCAAATGAGATGTTTGATATAGCTGATACCCTTTAGGTGGACTTTCAAAATGGTTTTCTCATTTCTTAGCATTTCGAGTGATTTTTGTTCTGATGCAAGAGGCACAACTCTCTTACCCAGCTGGATATGAAATCATTGCTTTGTGCTAAATTATTTTGCTGGTGACTCGGTTATGTGAATGATCTTAAGATTGACTTTCTTCATCTTTAGATTTATTTTGACCGTGATAAGATTATTTACACTTTGCTTCTTGCATCTTATTCTTTTGATCCTTCTTACTGGTGGAACGATTTTTCCTGTGTAGTTGTATCATCATTCTACTTAGCTTACTTAGTATGTAGCCAGTTTGAACACCTCTAACCTCATGCTGTCATTTCTACTGCTAAATGTCGTTTCAGCGAAAGCATTTGAATTGTTGTAGCTGTATAAATTAATCTGCCACTCTTCCATTTTCAGCAGAAAGTGGCATTTGCAGCATGTATACGTACTGTCAATCTTTTGATGAATCTTGTGAAGGTGCAAGATTGTGGAGTTGGTGATGATGCTTACTAAAGGAGCTAGCATGGATCTTCTTCCGAGCCTCTTTGCCATTGGCAGGGTGTTTTGGTGGAGGTAGGCGATGCTTATTGGCCGTAAATGATGTACTTTCAGTCACAAGCTTTATTGCACATTAATAATGAGTTAATGCTTTTGGTCGTGGCATTGGTCAGTTTGAAGTATATCACACTCCCCATTCTGTTTTGTTAGTTGTTGCTCGATATTTTTCCTTCTTTTTTCCTGTGGTTCCTGAGTGCCTTGTGTTTATGTTGTTCTAGCAAAAGAATCCTCGCCAGTGCTGTCAAAGGTTCGCATTTAATCCCTGAAGCTAGGTGCAAAACAAGTTGATGAATTCTCGCTTAGTTAGCGCTTCAGTGCAGGCACCAAGACACTAATAAGGTGCACCTCCTTGCCATGGGCTTTGTCTTGAATATTGCGGGCACTGAACAATAAGTATTTTACTTAATTGCAAGTTTTTCAATTCCTTCGTCCATATGTTGTTTGTGTTAATAGTTATTATTCTTGAATTACACATATATCTTATATTGTTCCTTCATTTACGCCTTTTTTCATTACATCCCATATTTATTTGCGCTGTGTCTAAAGCCTCGACAGAGCAAGGCCGTTTTTCTCACTTTCCGCTGCTCCTGGTTCTGACTCTTCACAGTTTGTGCAGCTGATGGATTTATTAATTGCTTGAAGTCCCCGACTGATGCTAAATCACTTAGCAATTGACCTGCCACTTCAGAACCTTGTTGATTAATGCAGCAGAGGTGGATTTGCCGCTTTGCTTTCACTGTTCCTTCAAACAATTCATAAAACAATATACAAAAGCACACCATTTCATACGCTATATGCATTTGAACTATGTGTTGATTTTTGCAGGCAATTTATACGAGGAAACGTGAAAAAAACACAAGCCTTTCTTTTGCTGAGTGAGATTATGCTCACTTGTGGTGACGAACGTAAAGAGTTCACTTGAGCTTCAGTATTGGGAAAAAGGAGGGGGGGATTACCATTTATGCCTGAATACCACATATTATTCTTACCCAAAATATGTTGTATGGAACCGAAGTTGTCTGTATATAATTGCTTGTCAAATGTCTGGTTTTTAGTGTTGATGCTTTGCCAGAATTAGCAATTTTTCCCCATCTTAAGTGAGGTAAAGACATGCATGCGCTTTAGAGAAATGTGCGATCTAAAGAATGACTAGCAAAAGTGATGCTCGAGTCTCTTAATTTCGACTAAAAGGATTTAGATCAAGATCTGCTAGAATTAGTTGCAATTTGAATATCATACCATATCATATCATAGTACTTAAAGAGGAGTATGATCATCTCCATCTTCATTCAAGTCAGGCGGCGGCCTTGTGGAAATTATGGACCTGCTTATCTTCTCCTCCTGTGGTGGAGGAGGCAATAAGTTTTTTTGATCATTTGTATCGGCCTGAACGTGGAAGATGCACAAGAGGATGCTAACAATTGGTAGCCAGCTATCTTCAGGAGATAAAGAGAGATTGGATCTTACATATGGAGCCAAATACACAAGAGCAAAAATAGCATAACGCAGTTTCCCAGTATCCAACCACGCGAAAACCCAACTCAACCAATTAAAATACGGAATTAAGCTGATAATTGCCATCACAGTAAACCTCGCATCACCAGAATCAATCACGGACTCACCGTCGTCGTCATCCGGCTCCGAGTAATTAGTCGGACTCGGGAAAACCAACGAGCTGAGAACGCAGACACCGATAGCCACGGCAATAGTAGCGTCGTTATTTGCAAACTCTGCCCTGCACTTGCAATTAGTTCCATTTCTCAGATTTAGCTTTTTGCGGAGGCCAGGTTGGAGAGTTGGTAAAAGTGAGGATTTTGGAGGAGTCGGAATAAGTACTGCTGAAGTGGAAGTCAGAGGAATCATCGCCGGAGATGGAGGACGGCGAGGCCAGCATTTAACGCAGTGTTTGGTGATAATAAAAGTAAGAAATCATTACTCCTACTCTTTTTTTTTTTTTGGTCATTAAAATTTGCTCCAAAAATATCCATCTCATATACGATGGTGTGTGTGGTGGGAGATCAGTTGACAGATTGTGTTGATTTGACATGAGGAAATGCAAAATAAAAAATACTAATTTTTCTTTTTTTTTTTTACGAAATCAGCGTTTATTCATATAATTTTCAATTTTCACTTGAAAATGTATTTTGAAAATTTTCGAAAATTTAAAAAACTCCAAACAGCTATTTTTTAAAATTTTCACTCAAATTACTCACAAAACTTCAAAAACAACCCAAAATTATATTCATGTCCAAACACAACTCTAAATTTCAAATACTATTTTTGAAAAATAGTTTCCCAATTTTGGAATTTTACAGTTCTTATGTCCAAACGCCCACTAAGAAGTTATTTAACATTTATTGAAGTAAATTTTGCTCCAAAAATATCCAACTTGTTCTTTTCAAAGAACGAGGACTCTGTTTCTTTATATGGATGTTCCAATAGTTGCGTCTTCTTTTGGTTGTAAATGTAAACTTGCAGGAATAATTATTGTTGTTGTTGTGTTTACTTTTTGTTTTGTAAATATAGAAAAGCTCGGAGGTACAATACGGTATGTACATGCTATACAATTTTACTATTCCTTCCGTTCCTATTTAATTACTATAAAGTTTTGCACAATCTTTAAGAAAAAATTAATTAGGTATTGAATTTGACTAATCTACACCTTATTAATTCTTTAATTTAATCTATTTAGGTGCATATTAATTCTAGAACAATTAATGCTAAGGACCAAATTAGTAAAAAATAATTAATTCTCTCTTGATATTTTAAATTGACAAGTATTTGAGAATAACTATTTTTAGTATACATGACAATTAAATGAGAACAAAGACGGTCGCGTTTTTGGGGAACTTTTTTTGACTATTTACTTTCGTCAAGGCCAAAAACAAAGGGCGAAAGCTCCAAAACTAAACCTAAGTAGTTGAGATTTCCTCCAGATGAAGTCCATCTTTAATTATCACAAACAAATTCGCAAGTGGACTGAAGTTCTAAATTGTATCAACAATAATAAATAATTATAGAGACTTACCTTATATTTTTTCCAGAAATACCTACCTCTCAACCCACCTCTCCTTCCATGGATTTCGATTTAAATTTGGTTTGACATCAGATTGGGTTTTTGAATCAGTAAATTTAGATTCTTTCGTTGCTAAATAAGCAATAAAATTATGTTATATTTGCTTCCCATAGTTAAGAAGTCAAATGCCAAATAATCCCTTTGTCGGGGAAAAAAAGAAAGGGGGAGAGGGTTGGTTCTTAGACAAGCTTAGGATAAACCGGGATTAGGGAAGAGTAGCTAGATTAATGACCTTGCATTTATAACAAAACTAGTAAAGTTATCCGCGCTTCGCGCAGTCTATAAAAATTTGAATTATTTTATCAAATAGTTTTCTAATAACAGAAGATTACAACCAAATTATAATGCATATGTCTAATACATCAAAAGTTATAATATTAAGCAATATTATAGTTATTCATTTGAAACAGATTAGGACATCTTAATTCAATCTAAGAAATATTTGAAAAAAGTAAATATTTCATTTGAAAATAAATAGTGCAAAAGAATGGAATTTCAATAAAGTGCAAGAATATATATAACCATAAGTGAATTCAGAAAGGAATATGAACTTAAACTTCTCAAAAATCCTACTTTATTTTCCCCATTCAAATTTTAATCTTTCATGAAAGGAACCTAAACCTAAGACGACTATACCCGGCTGATATCAGTGGAAGGGGGAGTACTCTACTTCTAGTGGTTTGCTGCTTCTTCTTTTTTCTTTTTTTTGTGCATTTTTTATCAACCTCTCTCTCCCGACTCCCGTCACTATCAAAAAAATGAGATTAGTGATGGAACATTAATTTCTGTCACTAAACTACGTAATTTCAGGGCTAAATAGGATTTCTGTCGCTAAATGCCTAATTTCATCGCTAATCGGCTAATTCTTCTCTAATATTGCCAAGCTAAAACCATCAGTTGCAAATTCCGTTGCTAAAATCAATTTCTTGAGGTGGTATTTTATTTTCTCTTTTAAATTTATAGGAGAAATTTAATGAAATTTAAATAGCATGAGAAAAAAGATCAGTTTCTTATATTTAGAGACATATCACGTCATCACTTCTATGATCTGGTTTATGTATATACATAGGCACTCACGCACGAAAGAATACAAGATAAAATTTGACTTAGTATAAACAATAAATTTTGATTGTGCAAAAGTTTTTCTTTTAATAATAATCAATAGTAAGAAAACTGAATTTACACATGCTAGTAAAAATTGGTCAAGAGAACTTTACATTATGATTTGCTATCTCTTCCCACCGTAAATGGTAGTAATCACAAAATCTAAAACTTTTTGCATAAGTAAATAAGATGTCGTAATCCCAACTTATTCATTAGTTTGAAGAATTTGATATATCAAGGACTAACTTCCTTCTATTTTGAATATTTTCTAAAGAATATACTTAAAGAACCTCGGCCAATGCAAAAAGTTCACAAACGTTAGTAAAAGAAGAAAGATTTTTTTTAAAAATGTGCAGTATAGTTAAAGAAAAGCAAAATGGAGAAGATAGATCATCAAAATTATAGGAGGTAAATGCATATCTGTGAGAGCCAAACCTACTACCTGGAATAAATTACCGGTGTCAGTTCTAAATAAGTTTGTTTAAAGAAATACTCATAGAAGTCTTCAAGTCAAGTGAACAATAAGAATCCGGGAGGAGAAAAAAAACACAATATGTAAAAGTATGGTATTCGAAGATCCGTCAACACCTATCTATTCCTCTTCTATTCTCCTTCATTGTTACAACATTTGGTTAGTGTGCTTTGCGTACCTACATGTTCTCGGAACCAAGGAAAGGTATTAATAATTCTAAAAAATGAACCGTTTCTTGGTAATTGAAAGGTCAACCATTTTTTAGAAGCTAAAAGGTGTCAAAACGGTTGTTCTGTAAAGTCGCACCGTTTAATGCATCTTCATACACTTATAAACTTTTAAAAAATAAAATAAAAAAACCAAAATGACATAAAAGGCAAAAACAATGAGAAAAAAGATAAGTAGGAATCCTACTATATGAGAAATCCACGTCACCTTCCTTTTCCCCTGTTTTATATTAATATATAGATTTTAAGGGCTAGCGTTATCTAGCTAGATAATTGAGAATTAAGAGGTCGTTTAAAAGTGTAGCTAATAATTTTGAGTTATACTCTATGTTAAAAAAAGTCCACCAAACTGTATAGAGAACCAGGTTCTCTATCAGTTCTCACAGTAAGCAATAGACTGTAAAACCAAACAGTATAGGGAACCAGATTCTCTATCTGTTCCCATAGTAAATCGACAGTAAATAAATAACACGCGATATTTACGTGAAAAACTTCTTGCTCAAGGGATTAAAAGCCACGGCCTACCCTAGTAGGATTTCAACTCCACTAAACCGAGCAAACTTCAGATTACAACCTATTGCAATCTAGGAATTAAACTCTTAATCCCTCACCCTTGTAATAACTCTATTGTAAGCCCTTTGCAATAACTCTATCATAAAGCAACAAACCTTGACTAACTCTAGTCAAGAAACTAAACCAAACAATGGTTTAAATATGTCCTACAAAGACACTTCTTGAAAGTAGTGTAGGATTACAAATGGAGAACAAAATAACAAAGACTCAACAAATCTAAGGACTTAAGATATCTTAAATCTTTGGATCTGGTCCTTGAGGTTGCAACAACTTTGTTCTTGAGAGAGGTGGTGGCTAGCACTTGAGAGAATATGATCTTTTGATTGGCAAGTGTTAGAGAGATGAAATCCTTTGCCTCATGTTGATAATATGTGTATGTGATATCATCAAGGATGATGCAATAAAGTGTCCTTTAGTTTGGCCTTAGCAAGCTATAATTGTGCTGCTGTACTACTGCCAGACGGTCCAGTGCAACAACCTGCCAGATGGTACAGTACAACAACTTTTACAGCTGTAGAGTTGGCAGTATGATGATCAGGGGAACTGATCCATATCTCTTCCCTTATCTTATTTTATTGAGAATTGAACCAGACATCTAACTAGTTACTCTGAATGCAAGGGAACTAATTGTATTAGGTTCCTTATCTGGTTCTCTCATGAAGTTTGTCAAATCATCAAAACAAAAGACACATAACTTATCAATTTTCCCCTTTGATGATGACAAACTTAGAATTGATATTCCCCCTGAGAACCAGATCTCCACACTGTTCCCCTTACGAATCAGCCATATTTCCTCTGAGAACGAGAACAAAGGAACTGATCACAACTGGTTCCTCGAGACTGTTTGGCAAGTCATCAAAACACAAAATAGTATAACTTATCAATTTCCCCCTTTTTGATGATGACAAACCCATAATTGATATTCTCGCTCAGAATCAGATTCCTTACATCTACTGATCACATCTGGTCCGTATCTGGTTCCTTGAGAATGTTTGGCAAATCATCAAAACATGAAACATTGTAACTTAAAGCAATTTCCCCCTTTTTGATGATGACAAACCCATAATTGATATTCTCGCTCAGAATCAGATTCCTTACATCTACTGATCACATCTGGTCCGTATCTGGTTCCTTGAGAATGTTTGGCAAATCATCAAAACATGAAACATTGTAACTTAAAGCAATTTCCCCCTTTTTGATGATGACAAACCCATAATTGATATTCTCGCTCAGAATCAGATTCCTTACATCTACTGATCACATCTGGTCCGTATCTGGTTCCTTGAGAATGTTTGGCAAATCATCAAAACATGAAACATTGTAACTTAAAGCAATTTCCCCCTTTTTGATGATGACAAACCCATAATTGATATTCTCGCTCAGAATCAGATTCCTTACATCTACTGATCACATCTGGTCCGTATCTGGTTCCTTGAGAATGTTTGGCAAATCATCAAAACATGAAACATTGTAACTTAAAGCAATTTCCCCCTTTTTGATGATGACAAACCCAAA